AACATGTCTTTTAAAGAAGTTTTGTTTTATTGCATTTGCAACATTATACTGTCATAAATAATCCTTTACTGTACATGTGTAATGGGAGTCCAATAAGCTCCTAAGCATTATTTTTTGTTGTGTAAGTAATAACATAAAGTCCATTAACACTCCCTATAGAAGTTGAGACACACTTCCATTGTCTAGGCCAGGGTTTTTCAACCAGTGGTACGGGTACCACCTGTAGTACATTGGCACCTGGCAGGTGGTATGCGACCATCCTAGAAAAGTGGTAGCGGGGGAGGGGAATGAGCTGAACCGGTGGCAGCAACGCACAAGCCTGAGCGAGAGATGGCTGGAGCTGCAGGGCTGTCAGGGCTCAGCAGAAGCACCAGGATCAGCTTGGCAACTGATTCATATTTATGACGGTGACAGTGTCCCAGGGTCATGTGAAGTGACCAAAACCTGCTGCAACCACCCAGCAGATGGGGGGAATAAAAACCCCACCCCTGCTACCAATCCTCAATAGAAATGCTCACAAAAATGAAAACCTTGGATAGGGTGGGCAGGCAGGTGTCTTGCTTGGCTGTGGCTTGGGGGGCACTTTTTTCAGTGCCATTGTAATTTTGAACAGTCACTAAGCGAATTGTTGTAAGTCAAGGACTACCTGTACTTCATCACTTTTTTCCTTTTTTTTTTTTTGGTCATCAAATTTTTGACATCTTGCTAGGCGACTGGTGATACTCGGATATTGCCATATCCTAAAAGTGGTACAATGGATGAAAAGGTTGAAAAGCCCTGGTCTAGGCAATATGGGACCCTCTAATTCTTTATTCCACTCAACGTTTAACTTCTGTATAACAAATTGATTGATTTATAACAAATACCTAAAAAAACTACTACAGTAATAGGTTTTTTTTAGTTTTAAAAGATTTAACCAATTGTTGTAGCATGTTGGGTGTCTCAGAAGTTGAAAATGCTGCTGGTCCCTATCCAACAACATGAAATTTAATGTGGAGAAAAGCAAGGTTTTAAATTTAGGCAGGAAAAGCCAGAGGTACAAATACAATTAGATGAAACCTGGCTCAAAAACAGTAATTGTGAGAGGGACCTTGGAGTCCTAGTGGACAATCACTTAAACATGAGCCAGCAATATGCAGCAGCCGCCAAAAAAGCTAATACAACCCTTGATTGTATAAACAGAGACATAGAATCAAAATCACATGAACTATTATTACTGCTTTATACAGCCTTAGTAAGGCCACACCTGGAATACTGCATCCAGTTTTGGGTCACATTACAAAAACGATGTTGAGACTTTGGAGCCAGCTGGTGATTTTGACTTCTACTTCTCCTAGTTTAGCCTAACCCCCAGGCTGGTACATACAGTATATAAAATGAGGGCAGATGCTCTGTCTTGAGTTCCCAAAAGAAAGGCAGGATAAGAGCGAGTTTAATCTAGTGGTAAAGCAAGTTCAAGTCACGCCTTAGCCATGAAAGTCAGCTGGGTAGCTTAGGACAGTCACTCTGTCTCAGCCCAACCCACCTCACATGGTTGTTCTTGTGGAGAAAATAGGAGGAGAAGGGGTGTTGGATATGTTTGGCTGCCTTGGGTTAGTTGTAAAGCTAATAAAAGCAGAATACAAACAAACAAATGTAATATTTGTGGCCTTTGCAACACTTAACTTTTGAAACTATTGGAGAAGCTGTTGGGTGACTCTACTGCATGACAGTAGAAATTTATGTGGGTTGTTATGCATGTCAAGCAGATACTTAGAGGCAGGACAAGAGATGCAAAAAGCGGGGAGATGACTGATTTAGTGAGCATAAGATAGTGGTATACTAGCTAAAGTATTGAATTGGCATTGGGTTCAACCAGTGGTGGGATTCAGATATGTGAACAACTGGTTCTCTGTGTGGATGCCGCTTCTGGAAGTCCATTCTGGGCCTGGGCAACAAAAAAATAGCTACTGGTTCTGCCGAATTGGTGCGAACTGGCTGAATCCCACCACTGGGTTCAACTCAGGTTCAAATCTACTCTCTGCCATCCCTGATCATTGGGTGGTGTACATTTTGTCTCAAGCTCTGAATGAAAGGCAAGATACAAATCTAATAAATATGAATACTTCTATAAATCTGGTGTTACTATTATGCATTTTTATTGTATTGTGCTTTCTTCAGTTAAAAGAAGACTTCACAGGAGTTTGTTATCCCCAAATTTCCCTACTGGAGTTTTCAACATGCTAATTTCTCTAATATACATAAATTATTCTAATATAAATTTTCGTGAAGTATGCTTGTTTTCTGCAAGGAGACATGGTATATTTTTGCAGATTTTTGATGAGAACGAAAACATCAGACTTTTTTTTTTACTGTTATTGTAAATGTGCAGTCCATTATAAGACCAATTCCCTTACAAATCTATGTCAGATTCTTTCACATTGCTAAATAAGGAAGAACAGATGCAGGAAGTTTCAAGTAGAAATACTTGGCATCCCCAGCTATTGCTAATATAAATAGTTTAAACAAATTCTTAACAAAATGGGAAGATACTTTATGACATGACATTGCAGAATAAGAATTGGCAACTATGGGATCTTGTTTTGCTGCATTTAATAGTCAGTGATCTAGAAAAGTAGCTGGCACTATTTTTCCCTGGCATGGGGGAGTAGGAGCTTTACTTACTAGAATTTGGCACATTAAGATGCTGCTAAATTAATTTATTTTAAAGGCTTTTAAGATTGCCTTAGTAGGGCAATACCTTCTCTAAGAGGCATACAACAAAAAGATAGCAAGAAATTTAATGTTAAGTTGCTAGTATTCAGTAGTAGCAGATAGCACTAACTTTTTCATACAATGCTCTATTTAGCCCTGCATAAAAAGTGACTGCATTTCAGCAACCAGCAAATGCATAGGGGTAGAGAAAAAGCAGGTTGTAGCTGTATTTTATGAGGTCCTAATTAGATATTTTACCTAGGTAAGTTTTCATGTTCCACTGAAGAAAATGTGAATATAATGAGCAAGGACAAATAGACAGGAATTCTTAAAGTAGAAGATTGCAGTCATTTTAAAAAGTTTTGACAGGAACTCTGGGTGTCATTACAAAATGACTCCCTTAAGGCTATGGTTGTTTACAAAATTGTTGTCATAGTGTATGTTGCCAATCAGAACATGATCTTTATTTTAAAAAATGAAGGTTTCTGAGATTGGTATAGTTGCGTGCATTGTCCTTGCTAACTTTTTCAGAATCTCACCCACCCAACTGTCAGGTGCAAGAAATCGGGAACCAGGATGGTGTTCAAAAGTACTACAAGTTTATTTCATGTTACCTATACACAAGAATCTGTACTACTAACAGACAAGGCAAATTGGCACCAAATGAGAGTCAATGGATTTCAAGGGAACTAATGATGCATTTGACTCCACCCTTGAACTCAGCCTGGTCATTTCCTACACTACCCCAGTCTGCTCTGTTCTTTTTAATTTTTTTTTGTCTGAGCAGTGAACTATGAATTAATTATTGTCTAGGAATGGCTGCATTGGGCTTATATGAAGTCCCCCTAGCCCAGTACAGTGTTACCAATTTTGACTGATTGATTCCAGTATTGTAGCCAAGTCTTTCCCAGTTGTACCTGCAGAAGGTGACCATCGATTGATCCTTTGACCTTCAGCATAGAAAGTATATGCTCTATTTCTTGTAATCCAGCAGACTGGTTGTAGATAATCTCCCAAAAACTTTTCCTTTGCCCACAATTTGCTGGTTGATTGCTCTGCTTTATATTTCCCAGCTGAGAAGATATTTATAAAACATTGTCAGTTAATAATTCCAGATGCTAGTTAATCTGAATCAATTTTGCAGGGTTATTTTGGATTAATCTTGGGTGATTCCTGTTTCTTTCTATCAACTTTGTTTTACCTGGAACAATTCCACTTGTTCTAATTTGTAATTAGATAGGTTTCTAAACATGGAGTTGCTTTTAACTTGAAATTTTTTTTTAACTCGATTTCTGATAGTAGAGTTTCTCTTGTGAACTTCTGAGTTCATTTTGAACCTAATTAAGATGGGAAAATGAGGATATGCCATGTCTGATAGATCTTATTTGCCTAAATGATAATCTTTCAGGGTGAAATATTGGAGGATATACTGTGGTAATAATGGTTCCATTTTGATACGGTCTTTCATTAAACTGATGTTTTCATTGAGCTTTTTATGAGCTCTGGCATTCAAGAGTAGCAGTGTCTGTGGGCAATTAGGATGCAGTTGGAGAAAGGCAGGTAAACTTTTACATAGTAGCTTTTTAGTTATCTCACTTCCATTACATGAGAAATACCAAGGGTAGAACCAACATTCAGAGGACACATCTTTTGTCTTACAACAGCATAATTCAGCTATTGTCCTTTTAAATTTTTAAAGTTTAAAATTTATATGTCATTTCATTTTTTAAACTGTTGATTTCTCCTTAAACCTGTGTCATGAATTTAAATGGGTTTAATGGTCCTTTTCCTCAGTGAACACTGTGAAATAATTGTTTCGGGAAGAGTAAAAATATTGCTAAACTAATATTTAAAATTTGGGTATGTAGGGAATCACAACGGCTATATATAGAAAAATGTTTGCAATTTTTTTTTGAATGAATTGCATCTTGATAATCATATCAGGCACACAGCTGTGTGGAAGGCCATTTTAGTTAACCAAGAGTAAAATATAACAGGATAACACAAACAAGGTGAGTTATTACCAAGGGAGTCCTATTATATACCAACTGGTAATACCTGCAACCAGAAGAAGTTTAGTCTCTTTTTCTTCTATCTCACTTGGAGATCACAAAGTCATTCTGAGCTGCTCCCCATTTCCAACACAATAACACTCATTAAGTTCAAAGTAGGATATTTTAAAAAATATTTTAATGCACTCTTCATGCTCCTTTCTAGTACGCCACTGATGTTCATTATGAGGTGATGTTACATTCCTCATTCAAGCTTCAGCTGACTTTCACCTTAGGTTTTTGCTTCTCTTTTAGAAGATGCTGTTTAAGAAGAATTGTGGCACAAAGACAAGGATCATCAAAATTCGCGTAAGTTGAGCCATAGATACATTTTCCTTTTCCCTTCCTTCCTTTGTGTCAAAATCATGTACGTTCCGTAGAGCAAATATCCACAGCTGATGGCCTTCCAGTTCCCTTGTAAAAGTTCTTGGTTTTTAGTAACATAGACTGGGAAGTGCAAAGAATTAAATGTAGAGGGGATAATCATATTAACTGAACTTGATTAATTGAATGAAAATGTAATTAAATTCATATTTAAAATGTAAGTTTCAGCTCCCACTTTTTTGTCCTTGCTCTGCTTATGTTCTGGAAGGCAATGTTTAGCATGCCATTCATTTGCTCTGAAAAATTTGCAAACAAACACATTTTTGTCATAGTTGCCATAGTTTCCTAGATAGTAGAAAGCTTAAAATGTAAAAGTTCTTCAACTATTAATTGCCTCAGAGGATATTTGGAGTACCTCCTTTCAGGTGAAGAAGGTAGCAAATAAGCACAGTATCGTCGATCATGAAGAAAAAAGAGGTTTCATATTTTTATAATCTGAGTAAGGAGATTAAAAAAATTGGCTGTAAGATTAAGCTGGGATAGTCAGAGAAATATATTAATTAGGATATTATAGGATAAGTTAATGTTATAGGTTAAACTAGTAGGATAAGTTAATAACTGAAGGTAATAATCCTATAATAGCGACGATGGTATATTTACATATGTTTCCTTTTTTTATACTCAGCTCTTGCAAAATCCATGTTTTTTAATCCACCCTCTCCTAAGTCGCTTAACTTTAGCCAATGATGGATTGTATTATTGCTCCATTATGTCACAAGAACATTTCAGAAGATGTTTATATTCAAGCCATTTATTTTCTTGATGAAAGCTTATACGCCACTTCAAATCACTGTAACACTAAATGGCTTGCAAGCATACTGATAGAATAACATAGTAAAGAAATGCAATAACCATAAAACAAATGCGAGTAACCGATCTAATCATCACAACCAGTAATAATACATGTTACTAGTGACCTTAAATTGTACAGGTACAGCCACCTAACAGCTGCTTTGGTTCCCAAAAGCTTTTGGACTAGACAAGTTTTTAAACACTTTGTAAATGTTAGGAAAATTTATTCTGGATGGAATCCATTCCACACAAGGGAGCCTCCTGTAGAAATTGCTCATCGCCACCACACCATAAGAGAAAGTGTTTCTGGGGCAGGCAATTTCTATTTGGAATAAGAGTTCTTGAAGATAACCAGCAGCTTGAATTACATTTCTGAATAATTAAGCCAAATGTATAGAGCCATATATTTGAGATGATTAAGAAATATTAGTTATTTATTACCAGAGAAAAACACATATCTGCTCTATCAATAGACCTGTTATAAAGAAGGAGAACTATGTTTGTCATTGTATGAGAGAAACAATAGAAACGTGAAGGTGAAAATAATGTACTTGCTTTGCAGTTTATTAATCAGTAAAGTAATATTGATTTTTTCATACATTCAATAGTACTTTTTCAAGAAACGTGTTGTCTGAGTTTACATTCACTAATACAGATTTAATTCCTAATCTCTTATTCTTTCCTCAAGCCATTGATAAAATAAGTCCCAAATTTGATAATATTTAGTTCTTCTTTTTCTTTCAACCTCAAAGTCAGTCTATCCATCTCCGCACATTCTAGTATTGTTTAAATTATTTCTTCATCTGATGATATTTCTTCATTTTTCCAATATTGTGCAAATATAATTCTTGCCACTGTTGTTACATGTAGAATCAAATATATGCTTTGTTTATCAGTCTTTTCTGGTATTATACCTAATAAAAAAAGTTCTGGTTTAAAATCTACATATTTTCCCAGCATCTTTTCTAGCCACGTATGCATTTTTCCCAATAACTCTTTGCTTTGGCACATGTCCACCAAACATGGTAATAAGTACCTGACTTGTGTTTGCATTTCCAACATCTATCTGACATGTTTTTAAACATTTTTGCTAATCTTGCTGGTGGCAAGTGCCATCTATAAAACATTTTATATAAATTTTCTTTATAAGAAAAGAATTCATTAATTTTGAAATTTATTTGGCAAGGAAAGAAAGCTAGAATCAAGATGAAAATGTTACAAGAAGCCAAGGAAAATGGAAGTTTTGGTTTGCCAGAGTGGGTCTTATATTATCAAGCATCTGTATTAACATGGGTAAAATAATGGATAATTCTTAGAAACAAAAGGTTGTTATATTTGGAGGGACATGATTTACAACTGGGGTGGCACAGTTTTTTATGGTATGGGAAAAATAAAATCCATAAGTACTTTCAAAACCACTATATAAGAAATGCACTATTATCAAAATGGGAAAAAATAAAATGTAAAATATATCTGAAAATTCCAGGTTGGCTTTCAACAATGAAAGCATTCGTACATCCAAATTTAGTCAATTTTGAAAAAATCCAGACATACAGAGATATTCTAAATTCTGAAGGGAACTTAAAATCTAAACAAGAAATGGAAAATCAGAGTATCAGAGTATCAATCTATCATGGTGGGCATACTTACAAATGTAAGTTATATATGATAAAGATGTTAAACTGTATGGATTTTATATGGAGCAAACCTTGTTTGATAAGATATTATTAACCTCTGATGAGAAACTAATTAAGTAAATTTATAATTTTCTATTAAATTTGAAAATGGAAAGCGAACAAGTTAAAGAAACAATGATAAGATGGGCAAACTTTTTGGGATACAATATAGAATTAGAAAAATGGCAAAACATGTGGGAAAGAAATTATAAATTGACAATGTCAACTTCTTATGGACTCCTGAAGTTTCTGAACAGTTCTTCACAGAACTGTTGCCAAATAAATTTCAAAATGCTATTTCTGTAAAACAGGGTACTGTATACCTTTGCTAACCCCCAGAATAAAGGGGGTTTGTTTTGCCTAAAACTGAAACTTTGCACTCTTTTTTCTGTTTTTCTTGTTTCTAAATGCTCTGCATTAAAATAAGGCAACTAGAAAAAATAGATAAATTGGTCCCTCATAAAGAAATAGGGTAGAAGTGTACACTGTGGAAGCATTTCAGGAATTATTTCTGCACAGCCTATAGTTCTACAAATGAAATAATTATTTAATAAACAATTTAATTTCAGTCAGTTTGGTGTACTGGTTAAAAATCTGACTTAGAAACCAGGAGGCTATGAGTTCTAATTTTGCCTTAGGCATGAAAGCCAGTTGGGTGACTTTGGGCCAGTCAGTCTCTGAGCTCAACCCACCTCACAGGGTTATTATTGTGGGGGAGATAGGAGGAGAAAGCAGTATTATGTATCCCAAAGGTGCTTTTCCAAAACACAATTGGACTTTCTTGTTTTTTTCCTTGAAAATGTTTCGCTTCTCATCCAAGAAGCTTCTTCAGTTGAAGAAAAAAGTCCAGTTGCCTTTTGGAAAAACACTTTTGGGACAAGCATGATCTGGAGGATTGAGAATCTCCATAGACGAGTATTATATATGTTTGCTTCCTTGAGTTACCTATAAAATAATAAAAGTGGGATAAAAGTCTAATAAATAAACTCAAATTCCATACCTTTTATCCTGTGATTTCTACTTCTTGTGAACATAGGGCAAAATTTGAGGATGGATTGATGCAGAGGCCAAGAAAATGGCATCTTGTTTATGATAATTGTAAATTGACAGATGCCTTTAATGATGGAAGCAGAATCCTCATCTGTCTGGGCCTTTTTTCCCCAGCCAGATCCTTTTGACATTGCTAGCCTAAGTCAGCCAATGTTTTCTGCTAGGTTTTTTTTTTTAATGGAGGATAACTGAGGGAAGTGCTAATGAATCATCAACGATGCCCTTGACGTGATGGCCCGTTGCCTGGAGGCCGTACGGGTCTGGATGGGGAGGAACAGACTCAGGCTCAACCCCTCCAAGACCGAGTGGCTGTGGCTGCCGGCGCCTCGGCATAGTCAGCTGACCCCATCGCTGACTATAGGGGGCGAAATCTTGGCCCCCTCAGAGAGGGCCCGCAACTTGGGAGTCCT